ACAGCGAGCGTATTTCAACTATGCCTCTGTATTTCCGAAACCAACAAGAAAAAATGCAGATTCTCATTCAGACGAAAAACCTTGTGGGTCACAAAAACTGGCCCCGATCGACGGCCGGTGAGACACCGTCGGTATATAATGGTCAGCTTGTGAGGGCTCGTCACTGTTCCAACAAAGAGTCACTATGAACACTAAGGTGAGCTGTGCAGTGCCTGAACCAGAGTGGAACTAGAGTTGAATACTAAAATGATTTTTAAATTTCGGAATATCTATTGTCATAGGCTTTGAGTTGTAATCCGGTAACTATAACACGGGTTAGGTTCAAGTGGAAGTTTATAACACTAAACTCAACATCAATATATTTATATAGAATTAAGAAATAAACACGTTCTTTTTCGTTGAATACCATTCCTACCCTATTACTTGAACTTTGCTTTCCATTATAGATCATCTTCGTGCTGGCCTTCGCCGCCGTCGCCGCCGCCGACAAGCCGAGCTTCTCCTATGGCGCCCCCAGGGTAAGGCTCTCTTTTAACTTTTCTTTTGAATATTAAATATATCAGGTATTCCCTTACCTCTATAAAAAAAAAAAAAAAAAAAAAAGGTTATAGATTTGATGCACGGAAAACTGCAGATATATTTTAGTTCCAAGATATATAAGTTCCAATGCATTCATGAATATTGCACACAGATGTTCAAACAAACTCACACACATACCTCTGCTATGTGTTTGTATGGACGCGTGTAACTCATATCAACATGCGTATTAGTATGCTGGCATTTTCATTTTACGCCATTTCACTTGACACCACAAACTGAACTAGATTATGAAACAAAATATTTCGTAATTCTACAGGTAGCATCCAGGGAATCCTTCGAGTCCTTCGAGTCCACGGAGGCCAAATACGACTTCCAGTGGGCCGTCGACCACGACGACTCCGGCAACGACTTCGGACACCAGGAGGCTCGCGATAACGACAACACTCAGGGATCCTACTACGTGCACCTCCCCGACGGCCGCCTGCAGAAGGTCACCTACTTCGTGGACGGCGACAACGGATACGTAGCCGACGTCAGCTACGAAGGCGAGGCTCGCTATGACTCCGTCGAGTCTCCGGGAGCTCGCAGACCCGTCTACTCACCCCCAAACCCGTCTACTCAGCCCCCAGAGCACGCGTCCCTGACTCACGCGAGTCCCTCGAGAGGCCCGCACCCATCCCCGTCAGGTCTCGTCACGTCGACTCCCGTGAATCCTTCGAGTTCCGCGGCCTCGACTCCCGCGAGTCCTTCCACTCGGATGAGGACGTCCGCAGACACTTCGGTTGAGGGACCACGTGCAATAATGGCCTGAATTTCCAATGCTGCGAATGTATTTATTAGCGTGAAAGAGTCAAATAAATGTTATGCAATGAAAAATTGTTGGCTTAATTATCCGATTCGTCACTACAACTCTGCTCATTCTTATATAATAGTATTGAAATACACATCATTCACAGAAAACACTTAGTAGAGCTCAAACTCCTCAGAAGTCTCTACAATTGTGGAAAAAAACAAAGACTCCAGAACCGATTATGTATAATAATGAAAAAATAAATAAATAGATAAATAAATACAGGAATAAAAAAGTGTTTTGAAGAAACTCTTATCCAGTTTATAATTTTTTTTTCAACAATCTTTAGAATGTTGATGTTTGTACTAAGCAGGAGAGTCAAACTAAAATGCTTTTTTAATTAATTTATGTATTTTTTATTATTCTTTCTGTCACTTCTTTTAAATATGTTGGAAGTAGGCCTTCTCCAGATCTTTTCCACAGCGTTCTGTTTTCAGTCATTCCGGACTAATGCTTTTATACTCGCCGACGCAACAGGAACGGTCTTAATGTTGTTTGAAATGTGTATGATGACGGGGAGAGGGTGAGCCATATCCACCCTCGCTGGCCCAGTGCGGTTGGTAGGGGTCCTTATAGTCGTCTTTTCCGACACGCAGTAATATACGCTGGTAGTATCCTTTTTCACGTCCCCCTATCCACAGGGGAATACTTGTAGGCAATCGAGGTAAAGTTCCTTGCCCAGGGGAACGTCGCATCGCCCGTGGACTCGAGCTCACGAACTTAGATTGTCGCGACAGTCTTTGAGTCCGATGCTCTAACCAAATGGCCACTGCGCCCTATGGAATCCTGAACAAAAGAAAAGAAAAGAAAAGTAAGAAAACATCCCACTCCAGAATTTGAAAGAACAGGGAAATAAAGACGAAAATTATGTTCAGTGTATAGATTACTGAAACAGAGTATCACCGAGGTCTGTACAACATTAAAGTAATACAAGTTTCCTGAACACTACAAAGACGAATAAGATAATAAGTGTTGACATCATTCTTGAATATTTTCCCAAAAATAGCATTTCTGTATGAAATATCCAGTAAACATATTCCTGTCATGTTTGTGAAAACAGCAATAAAACAAGAAACGAATAAGTTAAATATGTACAGGCATCAGTCTTTT